TGAGGGGAGAAAGCAGGGACGTGTATTAATATACGTTTTCCCCTCCTGCTGCCCTGGGAAGGACGCGTCGCGTCTTATCCGCTATCGGCGGTTGTGAGCAGGGGTGTCGAGGCTGGGAGGAGGGGCAGAACCGTGGGCCAGCTGCAAGAGGGAGGCGGGGTCGAGGGATAGGTCAAGGTTAGCGAGAGACGGCAATTGATCTGACTTTAAACGCGAGACGCGGAGCGCAACGAGACCAAAGGGGGAGCTGTGAGACAAGACATTAACAGCTTTCGCTTGTGCTAATGATCGCAAGTGCCAGACTGGGGAGAGACGGAGAGAAAGAAGAGACGAAGAAATCACTTTGGAATTCTCTTTCCTCCTCCCCCCCTCCCCCCTCGCCCCCCCCCCGCTGGAGCTCATTCCAGGAGAAGTAAAAACCTCAAATCGCCCCTTCCGTGGGTTGAGACTAGCCTTCACCATCCCGGGCCTCTCCCGGGGTTGGGGTGGGATGGGGTGTCTCCACATTGGCTTAGTGTGATGGGGTTGTTCCATTTCCTTTCCGAAAAGCACCAAGGTGGGAAAGGCTGGCCTCGTCGATCCTTAGTGGACCTACAAAAGGAAGTTTGTGTGTGTGTGTGTGTGTGTGTTTCCTAATCATTTGTTTGTCGTCCTGATTTTGAAAGCTCCCTGCCCGACGGTATTCTAGTCAAGAGCGAAAAGGCCGAGTTATTCTATGATGAGTTACGCCAAACGCGTTTTCCCTGTTTCTTTTCCTTTGAAATTTCCTGGTAGGTCTAGCCAAAACATTCAAGGTGGGCACCGATCACCACCTTCTTAGTTTTGTAGTCCGAAAAAAAAATGGTAAAGATTTAACGTACTTCTCAGCTTTAGCCTATATGGGACGCATTCGCAAGACCACACCCATCCTAGCTCCGCACGAAGAGTTACTAGCCTTGCCTCAATTCGGAACCGTCTTTCATATTAGTTAATTCTGACAATTCTTTCTCTTTGTAAACGCCGCTTATTGTAAGCTGAGGTCCACACTCGCTTCTTTATTCGGTGTGCTTTATGGGATGGCGATATATGTTAAGAGTATTTTTAATTTCATGTTTTTATAACTATGAGTGATTAGAACCCCGAGAACGTCAATTCTCAGACATTGCGTCCCATGTTTTTAAAAGGGGAGATTCGGAAAGAAGAGTGCAGGAGTCTAGTTTAGGCACGGGGCTAGCCACATATGACCCACTAATGAACTGAAAGGTTGGCGAGGAGGAGTATTTCTCTTATAATCGAGCTGGTCCCAAGTAAAACAGGAGAAGAAAGCGTTATTTTAATCTGATCCTAAGACGTAAAACTATTTATGACCGGATCCTATGCATATATATTCAGCAGAAAGCGCAAACGTGGATTTTACGGAGTGGGTGAAATTTAGTATGTAAATACTTAAAATAAATAAGCATTAAAATAAGTAAGTAAATATAAACAAATAGGATGTCACTCTTAGAGATGTATTTGGCTTATCAATAATATCTCAGGCGCAAGAAGAAAGCTAGACGCATAGTCGCTGGAAAATACAAGTGTTGTGTCAGTTAAAGAAATAAAATTCTCGGTGAAGTTATGATGGAAATTCTGCCCGAGAAAATTATTCACGCGTGGAACTTCATAGCCAAGTGGCTTCCTAGGGATTTTATTTCCTGAGCTTTGCCGCGATTTCTGTCACTTTTTTTTCACTTAGATTAAGCGCTGGGAAACTACCTTGAGTCTCCCCACCCCGAAGTCTGGCGCCAAATGGAACTGGCGCGTTTTAAACCTTCGTGGTGAACCAGAATCAATGGGAGGGAGGACATGAGATCAATTATTATTATTATTATTATTTTAATTATGCACGGGGGGGGGGAAGCAATAAGAACCATTGCTGTTCCTTCAAAAGCCTGAAGGCTCTTCAACTCCTTCAGCCCACACCCAGCAGCGGATCCTTTAAGAGCCCCCCTCCTCTTTTTCCCTAGGACTGTTTGGGCAACTTTGGGAAAAAAGCGCGTGCGGATCTCAAAGAAACACACACACACACCCCCTTTTGTAGGGCGGCGGCTTCCTCTCCCACGAGGAGGTCGCCCTTCCCGGGGTACCGACTTTAGTTCTTTTGTAGCCTAACCCTGCCAAGCCCGAGTAAAGCTGCAAAGAGGCGAGAGGGCGCGGGTGGAAGAGGCGGGCGTGCAGTAGCTGGCCCTGCTCGCAAAGCCGTTGAGCGGTAGGCCGAGGAAAGTTGGCCGACCGCCAGCCGGGTCGGGTTAAGCGCCAGGGCACCCTCTTGCGCCGGGGATGGCTGTCCGTGAAGAGCGCGGTTGAGAACAAGCCTCAGGGACTGGCATCGCCATCGGTGGCACTATTAAAAGGAGCAGCGATGATGGTGGCGATGAAAAATTAAGTTAAAGATGGGGCGTTGGTGAGGGGAGCTGAATCCGGAGAGGTTGCGCGTGGACGTCAGATTTCAGAGACAGGTAGACAGATGGATAGATAGGCAGCCAACGCATATAAGAGGAAGTAGAAAAGGCTGCTTATGACCAAACAAAAACCGGAGCTAGGGAAGCTAAATACCGTAGATACCTCAGTCCTATTCAGTCTTACCTGGAAGAAAGTTCGCTGAATAAAGGGTGGCTTAATCCTGAGTAAATGTGCATTGCTGGGTCAAGAACTTTTCAAATTCCACCCCTTGCAGTGGAAAAATTATATACATGTATGCCTGCCTTCTGTTGAGGAATAAGTCGAATTGAATTGAGTGAGACTGGGAAGGAAGGCAGGAAGGCAGGAAGGCAGGAAGGCAGGCAGGCAGGCTACTATAGCCTTTGAGTATCTTAAGTCTCTCTTGGAAATGCAGGGGACTTATCAGCATGGGTTGGTTGTGTTCGCTTAGCTCAGGGGTAGGCAACCTCGGCTCTTTGATGACTCATGGACTTCAACTCCCAGAATTCCTGAGTCAGCATAGCTGACTCAGGAATTCTGGAAGTTGAAGTCCATGAGTCATCAAAGAGCCGAGGTTGCCTACCCCTGGCTTAGCTTATTAACTAAACAGCTTGATTCACACATTCTCCTAATCCGTATCTATCTAGTTGTGGCTTAAGAGTGACGTGGAACCCAGCTTCATGATTTAACTCGTGGCTATGGAGTTATGAATCACAACTCTAAGCGGTACTGAATCTGGCCAATGAATGAAGTTCAGCCAGATCTCTCTCTCTCCTCACCATCTGCTGTCTGTTAAGACTGATCCACTCGTAAGTTTAATGCCCGTCTTCCCAACGCTCTCACCCATACTGATGAATGGGTGGAGAGCGGAATCTTAAAAACTGCCTGGAAGGGATAATTTCTCTTGCAACAGTAGCTCTGAATTACAAAGAAACATCATTTTTTCGCACCAGTCAGTCCCAGATCAAATTCGGGCTGGAGTCCACCACAAGCTGGCTTAAATTTAGTGCTGATCATAAGCCAAGAGGGAATACTTCCCAGGTGAAGCATTGGGGGCGAAAGAAAGGGGCCTGTTTGTTCACGGTTGTTTGGGAGGGATGGTGGTGATAACAGTCAAAAGCAGGGGTAGTCAACCTTGGCTCTTTTATGACTCGTGGACTTCAACTCCCAGAATTCCTGAGCCAGCTAAGCTGGCTCAGGAATTCTGGGAGTTGAAGTCCACGAGTCATAAAAGAAGCCAAGGTTGACTACCCCTGGTCAAAAGTGTCAGGTGAGAAAGATCACCTGAGGAAAAATAGACTCGACTCCTGCCTTTTGGCATACGGCGCGTTAACCCCTTTATATCGTATTTGTGAGTGAGTTCAGGAGTTTCATCAGCTCAGTCCGCCATCCACAACTTCCACGGGCGCAGCTAGTCGCAACTCTCGCGGCGATCTTGGCCTGTTTTCAAGTGCCTTGAGCGACGGCAGCGTAGCGCCATTAAGACGCTGCAAGGCGCGCTGAGTGGCAGGGCCCGGGTGGGCTGCATTTTTTTAGAAGAGCCAATGAAATCGCGCGAGCTCGGAGATGGCGGGAGCCCTTGCACGGCCCTTGCACGGGGTGCACTTCCGCGGCACCCCAGAGGCTTTTCTGTTGAGTAGGCCACTGGATAATAGTCCCCAGGAACTCTTATAAGAGAGTTCGCCATATATTTTCCTCAACGGGTGTCTGCTATTACGTCTTGTTTAGTCCAGGATTGAAAGGCTGTATCTAGCAGTCATCTATATTTATTGAGTGACTCTCCGTTCAGACGATTATTCAGGCTAACGGGTGACTCGAGTGACCCAGAACGTGGGCAAAATTGCCGAGCTGGGCTGCAGTCAAGTAATTAGGTGCCTTAACTCCCGCTTCATATTTCAAGTGAAAATACGAACTGTACAAGTGGAGTTTCGGTCACTTTTAATGCTGAATGGGGGAACCTGGGAGAGACAGCAGCAGAATGGACTTCGGGTGTGCAGGTCTTCCTGAATATACTTTCTGGGGTTTGTGCTTAGTTGCGTTTGATGACACCGGCTGGCTTGGCAGCCCAGCCCAGCCCAGCCCAGCATGGGGGCTCGGCTGAGAGGGACGCATGACACCCTCGGGGAATCGAGGAGCCCTGCGTCCTATCACGCCCTTCCCCCCCCCCCCCGCGCTCCAAGTTCATTCACTCCCACGCTGTGGAAAGGAAGCAATCATTTTGACCAGGCAACCCCGCTACCTGGTACTTTTAACTCCGAACATCTGAATAGCAGGACTCTTTTAAAAAAGTGCTTTATTTGCAGACACCTGGTGAATGCCGGCTCCTTGATCAAAGCTGGAATGTTTCCAATGGGGTGGGGGTGGGGAGGCTCTGCAAAGACACCCATTAGCCTGAGCGGCCGTCTGCACGGAGGGTTAGGTAGAATCCCAGGCCTGCAGGCTAGAGGAGGAAGTTGAAGGCGATGGCAAGGCGCGTCTGTCCCGCTGCCAAGAAACTACCCAGCTCTGGCTGTGGAAGCGCCAGGAGTCAGGTTCGGGAGGAGGGAAGTCTCCCTTTGGCTTTAACCTGGCTCGCGAGCCCCTCTCGCTTAGGTCAACGCCGCTTCCAGTCTGGACTAGCAGAGCCCACGGGAGTCTTGCAGGGATCCTTCTTCACGCAAAAGTGGTGAGGCGCCTGGGAGAAAGTGAGAGAAGGGCGTGCGTGTGTGCGTGTCTCCCTCCGCAATCGCGATTCACATTGAGGAAGGGGGTGGGAGAGAAATATCTCTTTCCCCACGCAGATATTTGTGTTATTGTAAAAACTGTTGGAAATACACAGCGAAGGTGTTCTTGAGCAGAGTCGAGCTGCTACTGCCGCTGCTGCCGCCGCCGCCAGTCTGCGTGCAGGGAAGAGAGCGAGGGAGCGTGTAGTTGAAAAGGGGAAGTGAATGAATCTCTTTTTGAGGCCAAGATCCAGCCGCCCTGGAAGCTCTCCCGAGCAGGTGGATCGAGCAAGGACAGGATGGATTCCGCGGACCTCGGGCTCTCGCTGCAAGCCTCATTCCGGCTGGTTCTCCGGGTTGAGCCGATCGCAGCCGCCTCCAACTCTTTCCTTCCCCTTTGCTTTTCCGGAGCCAGCCTGCTTGGCTCGACTAACCCCTTTACCTACACCCTGCTTCCCCTGGGAGACGGCCGTCCCATTTGGGCCTCCTGCCAGCGGGCGGCGGCGGCGGCAAGGATGGCCCGGGTCCCTTGTCACCTCCTCCCTCTTCCTAAGACCTGCGAGACCTTTGCTGCTTCTTTTTCGCAACCGGAGCGGGCACGTTTTTTGGGGAAAAAAAAAAAGATATCTCTTCCCGTCTTCTGGATTTGCTCCCCCTTTTTATTTTCCCCCTGAATCTCGTTTCGGCTGTGGCTGTGCGGAAGGCAACCTTGGCTAAGCAATCGGAGCCGCGCGTGTGCTGGGAGTGTGTTTGAGGGTGGTTTCCCCCCCCCCCCTTGTTCTCTTGCAGGGTACAGTGTTAAAAAGCCACCGCTAGTCGCCCCCAGTGCTCCTACTCTCTAGGTCTTTTTTGTCTCTAGTGCAGATTAAACGTCACGTCCGCACTTGAACTTGAATTTTATCCCATTGTACGGAGGCAGACCCAGCCATAGAGAGATTGAGCGCTCCCAGGGAACCAGGACTCCGCCATCTTCACATTGCAATATATCTCCTAGTAATAGCCAGCACTCACCCAGAAGCACTGGGGGGCTTCCTTCCTATCAAGACCTTGTGCCAAGCGAGGGGCGGGGGGGGAAGCACTGGTAAAAGTAGTGCGAGCAAAGCAAAGCAAAAAAAAAAGCAAAAAAAAAAAAAAAAGACCTCAAACAGTAGCACTTGAACTGGCAAAGAGGAGACACAGTTTGGGCTATCCCTTTAAAAAAAAGCAAAGCAAAAAAAGAATTCTAATTAACTCAGCAAGGGTATTTTTGGTTGCATTTTTCTCTGCGTGTGGGCAAATACCAATTTTTCTACTTTTGTGCGAGCATGTATGCATTTAATTCAATTTTCATTTCTTTTTCTTTTTTGTTTTTTTTTTAAAGAAAACCCTCCTGATGGAAGAAGTGCACTTTGCTTTTTTTCCCCCCCCTTCTTTTTCTTCTAACCACTCTGGAAAAATAAATGTCAGCGCTTGGTGAAGTTCAAGAAAAGATCTGGAAGCTGTGGAAAAGGAAAACAAAAACCAAACCACCCAAAAGACAGTTGTCTTGTGAAAATAAAATCTAAGCCTCCCCCACTTCATTTATGATGTTTGTTTAATTGGACGAAGAACCTCATCCTGAGACCGTCAAGGGGGGAAAGTGCTTCTCTCTTTCGAGTTCTTTATTTTCTTTTTAAAAGAAGAAATCCGTCAAGAACAGCATAGAAGAAGAGGAGAAGACGACCGCTCCCCCCTCCTCCGCTCCCCCCTACCTAAGTCCAGCTCTCCGGGCGATGACCGTGTAAATGCCAGGGCAATGTCCCGTCGCAAGCAGGGGAACCCGCAGCACTTATCACAAAGGGAAATTATCACGCGTAAGTTATGCCTCGCGAGGAACCGACTCGGAAAGCGGAATGTGTGTCGGGAGAAGCGAAGGGGGGGTGGTGGTGGTGGTCGAATCTGGATGCCTTACGCGAAACTGGACGGAGGATTTCAGTGGTGCTGGAGGGTGGGAGAAAGTGAGGGGGGGGTTTTGGAGAGTTAGGGAAGAAGGAAGGGGACTCTGGCCGCGGCGGGGATGCCTGGCAGGCTAGGGGGACGTATGTGCGCTGGGGGGGGGGGGGGGGGGGGGGGGGGGGGGGGGGGGGGGGGGGGGGGGGGGGGGGGGGGGGGGGGGGGGGGGGGGGGGGGGGGGGGGGGGGGGGGGGGGGGGGGGGGGGGGGGGGGGGGGGGGGGGGGGGGGGGGGGGGGGGGGGGGGGGGGGGGGGGGGGAGAACGAAGCGAAAGAGGTGTGTATGCCGGGAGCCGAGCGAGGAGAAAGTTTGAGGGGAATTTGTAGGCAGCCGGGAGGGAGCAAGAAAGAAGAAGGCCAAGGAAGCCGGCCGAGACGGGGAAGCGAACTGGGGATGGCGGGGAAGGAGTGAGGGGTGAACTACAGGAGCTTGAAAGGAGAGGCGAGGCGGCTCCAAAGTTGGCCGCGAGTGGAAGGCAGCGGCTGCCGGGGAAGGGGAAGGGGAAGGTGGCTGGAGCGCGGCAGGGAGATCCGTAATGAGAACCACATGGAGGGAACGTTTTGAGCCGGGGATGAAGCGGCGAGGCCGGCGTGGGGAGCTGGGAGAGGGGGAGGCGGAGGAGGAGCGTGGTAGGCGAGGTGGGGGGGAGATCCAGTGATTGGGGCTGCTTCGTCCTTCCCCCCCCCATTAGGGAAGCCCCTCTCGGTAATGGAGATAGGACCGGACTTGTGGCGGGGAGGGATGGCGGCGACGGACAGGTAGTCGGGCGGGCTCGGAGTCTTTGGATCGACTTCTCCCTCGACGAGGTCCGGCAGCCTGGCGCAAAGCGTAGGGTGGTTTTGCATACGATGGGCGTGTGGCGAGAGCCCAGGCGAAGACGGGAGGGGGGGGGGAAGCAGATGTATGTGTGCGAGGGGGGAGTGTGGGAATTTTTTGGTGGGACCTCACAAAGTAATGGCAGCACCATTTTGCAAAACGCAGCGCGCGCCAGCAGCAAGCAGCGAAGTCCTGTGAAAAGCGCGCCACTTTCTAATCCCGCAAGAGCAAGGTGCTGCTGAGATTCTAACGTGACCCAAAATAGTTCAAGCAGATGAGGATGGAATGGGGGTGGCCAAGGGATGTAGAATGAGGTACTCCACACGTCGGAGGCAAGGACGGGGGGGGGGGGGGAAATCCAGGACTTGGTTGTCTGGAGTCGGGGGGGGTCTGGAGCTAAGGGGTCAGTGTGTCTCGGTTTCAGCTTCTTGTTGCAAAACCTACGGGACTGTTAAATAAAAAAGACAGCAGCAACCAGCCTTTTTTATTTTGCATTTCTTCTTCTCTTTCTTTGCTGTCCCGAATACTTTGAAATGCAATAGACACCAAATACTGTTGCAAGTGCCTTGAGGATTTGCAAAACAGCATTGCTTTTTTTTCTGCTTTCTCTCCTGGCATTAAAAAAAAAACCAAAACAATAGCTAGGTGCAACATAAAGTAACTGGCCAAGAAACAGATACATCTGGAGTAGTATTCCGGGACGGGGGATGGGGGGGGGGATAGGATATTGCAGAGAAGAAAAAGGAGCGAAATCAGAACCAAAAGAAAGGCAAGCAGACGCTGCAAGGAACAGCTCCTTTGCACGCCCGGGCTGCCTCGAGAGCAGCCGCTGCTTCTGGGAGCTGGGCGAAGCAACGGAAGGAGGCGCGCGTCTGGGCGAGACCCGGAGAGAGGGCTGAGTGGAAGAGATTGTTTAGGAGGAGGGGGGGGGAAGCCAGGAAAGAATAGAATATGTATGTTAGATTTCTCCAAATTTAAATGAACATAAATGCAAACACGGCCCTGCGTCTCCCCTCCCCCCCGAGAGTCTAGGACTAGCAGCCATCTGCCAGCAGCATTTGGTGACAGCGGTCGCTCTCGGTCTTTCCTTTGTTGCAGCTGATAAAAATGTTATTTGTAAGAATACATCGGAATTATATTGATTGGAGAACGAAGGCGCTCGACCCGGGATGGCGTTTGGCTCGTGAATGTTGTTTTTCTTCGCCCCCTCCCCCAACTACTACATTTTTTTTTCTCCTTCCCCCTCTCCCTCCCTCATTCTTGCATTCCTCCCCCCCCCCGCTTTTTACTACTGAGCTGCAGCACCGAGGAAGATGCGTTTGGTATCGGCGTTTAAATTGATTTTGAGCGGGGAGTGGATGGCTGGTTTTAAAGTGGATTTAAAACCAAAACTCAGGCAAAACCTGTCATACCTTTTGAGCAAACTCTTAATTTTTTTTTCCCCCCCCCGAAGAAAAATCCTAGCCAGTTTGTGAAATTCCCAAAGGGAAAGAAGAGGACTCTTGTTTTTTCCCCCAAATTATTCCAAGGAAGTCTTCTGTTTTCTGAGCGGCTGGCAGGTGGACTTTCATTTTTGATAGTGAAGGGGGGGGGAGAAGAAAAAAGCATCACAGATGTTGGTACTAGGAGAAGTTACAGACACAGTGCACACATTTTGGGAAGAAATTTGAATCTGGCTTGATTTGGGAATTTCATTTTCTCTATTGTGAGAACCAGTCTTCATTACTTTTGAGATTGGTACCAAGGTTTGCTGGAAAGATTCCCCCAAATGTCTCTGTACTTGTGGCTTAAGGTTTACAGTGATGCTAAAAAGTCTTCAGGTCCTCCAGTTTTTCCTCAGGTCTCCCATTCCACTTTTCAGGTGGAGGGGCTTTCCTGAGATAGGGCTACTTGAAGTAGGCTGCAGAAAGCAAAATCAGGGAGATAATCTTTTGTAGTGGACACAAATGGGGGGGGGGTTTGCTAATATATATGTTTGGGTATGTGAGAAGAGATGGGGAAGAAAGACCAAGAAAATGTCACTATTTCAACTGTCAGAACAGAGAGAATGAGAGAGAGAATGAGAGAGAGAGAGAGAGAGAGAGATTCACCAAGATCTGGTTGGACCAATTTTCAGGAAGGTATTAATGCATTTTTGAAGAGTAGTCTGTTTAAAAACAAAAACAAAAAATGTCATGGAGTTGGATGAGAAGCACAAACAAGGACCAAATAAGAAAACCAAATCATATAAAATTCCCCCCCCCTCCTGTATTTTTTTCCTCAGTGAATATGAGGTGTTCTGAAAACTGCAAGTATCTGAAAGAGGAAGGGTCAACCAGCTTCTTTTCAAGGTGGATGGCTCTGTTAGACAGGCATTTCTCTCCCCCCCCCTTTTCATTGGAGTGCTTTAGATTTTAGTTTCTGGATGCTGAAATAAAGATTCTTACCTTGAATGGTGAGCAGGCAGAAAGGAAAATATTTATGGCCTGAGAGAAAAAAATATTTACAAACTGATACGATAAGCACCACTGAGTTCAGTGGTTCTTAGTCTCAAGTAAGTATGTATAGGATTTGCAATCTTAAGGGAACAATCCAAATGCAGTTCAGGTCAGTGGAGGGTTTTGTTGCTATCTTTCAGTGACAGCACTCTGACTTCGTTGTTATGGAATTTTTAATTTATTTGTTTAGATAAATTTCTCTTGATTTCACTGAATTCCTTCTTGATAAATGAATCTCACCTAATCTGTCAGTGAAAGATTAATGAGTTGATGGAGGAAAAACTGGTTTGTTTTCTAGTGAAGGATTAGTGGGAAAATAAAATGAGTTGCATTTAATTTAGAAAATTAAAATAGATCTTGAGGAAAATACAGACAAATGTTTTAGGGTTTTTCACAACAGAATTTCTAGTTTAATTGCTAAAACAATAAGATTTGAACAGCACTACTACAGCTTTAAAATGAACTCATAAGTTAGAGGGCAATCAAAGAAACCAGCCATCAAACTAATTCTCATTGTAATATAGAGCTGAATCTCCCCTAAGACAATCTTTTCAGGGTGGTGTTGTAGGATTGATAGTAGAATCACACACTTGCTTTGCAAAAATAAATTTGTCAGATTTCTAGAATTCTTCTACTCAACAAGTGGCTTGCTGGTCTTCCTTTTTGGACCACGCTAATTTGAAAAATGTCACCATGGTCCCAGTAAAAATAAAATATTTTAAAGTTTGTTTTCTGTTTTTATCTTTACTGAAAGGATTTCTTTCATTCAGAAGCAATTGAGAAAACTAACAGACATCCAACCTAAGAGATTGGTTAAACTCAGGAACCAGCTAGAAATAAATTTGTAGAAATGGTTTCAATTTCTGTATATCTGAGGCTGTGACGTGTGTACGCAGCAGATATTATACGCTGAATTTTATTGCTTCTTCCATTGTCCACACCTGCCCTGAATTGTATTTCATAAGTTGTACAGGATGTATTTTAGTCAAAATTGCAGACTCTTAAGATATTCTATGAGACCTATTTTGCTTTAAAACTCTATTTTCCCCCTCTCTCTTGATTTTCAGACGTTTCTTAGCATTCAGTCTGCCATCTTTAGAAGTCCTTTGAATGATTTAGTTTGTTTAGGAGGAATAAATACACCGAGGAATAAGGAACAGTTTTGCTTTTTGTTGATAGGCAAATATAGGGATTAATTTGTTAGGCTTATTTAAGCATTTTAGTAAGAATGGAGATACACATGCACAAGTAGACTAGTTCATTGAAAGCCAGATTATTGTGTGTCTCTTCTAGTTACATGGACCTGTGAGTTGAAGAAAGGCTGTTCAAAAAATGAATTTTGTCCAGGTAAAGGAGGCCAAATTTTTCATGTCATTGGCTCTAGTTGGTACATTCACCCTCCCTTATCAGAATGAAGTGGGTTTGAAGTTTGTTCCATTAGTTTAACTCAACACATACAAGGCTTTTCTTTTCTGTTTTCTATTGAGATTGCTCTGCACTCTCTTGTTTGTTGTTACAAAATACTCTCCAAAATAAACTTCCTCGTTTTCAGTTGAAGTCACATTGGTG